ACAAACGCTCCCAAGGGGATTGTATTTTTTTTTTGAATCAACGGATAGATTTTGATGATTCTTTCTTCACGGTATAGGTTGATTTTTAAGGAAGAAATGTGTTGATGGTTTCTGACAATTGTCAACGTTTTACCCATATACGGGGTGTAAAAAGAAATTTATGTTTTTTCTTCTAATTTTGCAACACCCTGTGGAATTTATCAGAAAGAACCGCTACATTCCATTTACATTACGATAGAATGGCAACCCTTCTCTACATTTTCGTTCAAGAATCATCTCGATATCTCTTTTATCAAGGAAGATACACAAGTTTAAATGCAACGAATTTTTATTAACATTTTAAACAAGTAGGTGAAAACTAAAAAACACTAGATAATCCTTAATCAATTCTCTCAAAATCACCTAATAACGTGTATTTCCGCCTCTCTTACGTATCACTTCTTCACAGCGACGAGGCATACTTAAAATCAAGCGTCGAATTTGATCTTGATCAATTGCATCCCAAACCTCTCTTACCATCCTCTCAACGTCGCACATAGGTTGATTTGATCAATTTACGCGGTCAAAATCATTTTATGATCTATATCAGTTCTAAATCGGATAAACAATAATAATTCGGTATTTTTCATAATAATTACTAATTAATATGATTATTTAAAAACAAATACAGAAAATTCAAACATATTAATTTAACACACTTATAAAAGGTATCTTAAAAGACATAATAATCACAATAAGCATTCATTTCCGAAATCACTGTCCCATAATATTTGTTCGTAGGTATATTATGTTAGTAAACAATATCAATAATCATTCCATATTTAATCACAAATCTTGCTCGCTATCCGAAGAATCTGGTGTAGTGCTGGTTTCAATATAACTCTTAGCTGATATTAACATTTCTATTGTTTCTGGGCAGAATGATTTAGATTTACACCTTTTTTTAATTTGTGTTGTGCTGCTCAAAAGTGGGTCTGAGTTTAATAATAATTTATTTTCTATTATATATATCGCGGTTACAATCTTCTCTTAAAAATTTCCTGGCAAAGTTTTCGCGGTACATTCGAAAATGTTTGTTTCGAGCCTCTTGGGCTTCTTCTGATAATTGCCCTATGGGCAACAAAGCATTTTTAATGATGTTTTGCACCATGTATTAATATCTTATGCATGGATGGTGTCATCGGATGCCATCCATACAATTGAACGTATAATTTAGCCGTATCCAGGGCATATTCATCATATTTCTTGGTATCATTTTATGACCAGATGAAATGACTTCCAAAATTACTTTAAGTCTGTACAACAAATTATAAACAATTGATCTCAGCAGCTAAATTTGCATTTTCGAAGAATCTTCGGCTAGTGTTTCCATCGTTAGTATTTCCATAGCTAGCCTTTGGCATATCTATTAACAATACCGTCTCTTTCCTAAATCTTTCTTGAATGTGTAATTTCGTTTGTTCTTCGACGATTTTTTCCTCCTTATCTCTTTTCTGTCTGTACTTCTTGACTGGCAATTTATAAGCCAAATGTAAAATACTCTCTAACAATCGTATTCTGGCGTGTAAAACAGATAAACCAAATTCGATAGCAGGTTTACTCACTACTTTTTTTTCTAGATCCAGATTATTGATGTCTTTTGATCGTGATTTTAACAATCAACACCGTGTCGTTGATTTTATGCCAGTAGCTGCGTTGCAAACCTTTCCGTCAACTATAGTCATTTTCAATATATGTCCAAACAGGAATGTCTTTCCGTTCAAAATGACTTCGGTAGCAACTAAACTCTGTGCAGACTCTTCGACAAAGCTAATTTCTTCTTTAGTAACATCCGTGTCTTCCTTCAGAAATCTGAATCTTTCATCACTTTCCTCTGCATGGAAAGATAGAGGTCCAATATCGCCTTCTATAGCATTGGATGTACATAGATTTAAAAAAAAATTGTGATGCACCGGAGGAATAAACGGCAACAAAGCCATCATATCCTGTTTTTTAAACTCCCCTATAGGTCTTATGTTAGTATAAAGTTTAACGTACGGTACGTTCTTTAAATAAATAGGCCTTCCCTTTCTGCCAGTTGGCTTTATGTTTAGGACATCAAACTCTATCATGTCCTCTAATGTTTCCTTATACATTATTTTATAAGGACTCCCTTTCTGTATTCTAATCCACTGGATTTTCAACCAGTTTATACGTTTATTTTCAATATTGATTTTTCTGTTACTAACATTCCTCTTTAAATTTTCAGTAGAAAAAAAATCATTTTTATTCATTGTACTTATTATAAATTTTTTTTTATTTCTACAATTTGTCATAATTTCATACCAGTTTTCTGGAACGTAGATGACTTTTCCTTTTGCTGCAAGTTCTACACTGCCAAAATCAGAATCGTTAGGCAAAAACGAATGGCCCGGTACCAAAAACTTCTGGTCTATGACCTCGATGTTAGTTTCATCACTTTGAATAAATCTCATTAATGCCAAACACATATTAATGTTTCGATTTTGTCCTCCGCATGTATCGCTGTAAACAGTGACTTTCTTTTTATTGTTAGCATAAACTTTTAAGTGCTTTAATAGGCATGACGATATTTCTTGTAAACCTCTTCCGGCAACTGTCTCATTCCATACGTAGAAAAACCCGGAATCCTTTGCAAAATCATGAACCCCAAAATTGTAGCAGTAAAGATTTCTTTTGTAATAAGCATCAGAAACCGTTAAAACTGGGAATGGTAAGGATTTTTGCAAATCTATACTACAAGCATAACATTCTTGATTGATTTTAACAATTTCAGCGTCATCTTTCATACAACTTCTAGCTAACTCAGCTTTCTTCAGATGAAATTCATGATCTCTATCGAGTACCGTCTTATCTTCTTGATTCAAATCTGGGTTAGATATTTTAATTTTGTAAATATCACACCTTTTACATGTATCCTTTTTCGGGCTATAGAAGTGTAAGTTGAATTTCGTATTGAAGATATACCGATAAAAATGTTCCTTGACTGGCTGCCTCTGGTTTTCATAGCATTTTTCGGCGTACAGCGCATACATTTTTCGCAGGCTCAATGATTGGCATAAATATTTTTTGTTTGGGTTGTGTTTCCTTGTGTAATGACTCTCGTATGAAGGAAATGACTGGATATGCTGCATAACGTAAGTTTTATCGTCTTCTGATATTTTCCGTTTAGGACAGCCTTTTAAGCCTCTTAGGTCATCTCCTGGAGTCTGACCATCGAGTGTTTTTCTTAAAGCTCGGGAAACTCTTCCCTCAGACACGTTAAACGTGCCAAGAAAATATTTCTTGCAAACCACAACTGATAAATTATTGTTTGGTTTTAAATTATATTGAAATGAAGCACTCCTCATAATGGTTCCTTCCTTCCTTGGCCTTCTTTGCTTCACTGAATTTTTACTTACTAAACCACATATAAATGTATTTTGTCTTTTGAAATTTCCCATTTTCCAAAAAGCTTCAAACAACGAGTTTCGCTTTACTGGCGTGATTTTGTCATTACAGTTCCTTTAGCAGGAACAGAGAGCATCTTGAAATGTTTTTTTCTCAATAATTTTACCCATCTTTGTAACGTATCGTTGCCCAAAATTTCGTGCTTGCTTCGCAATNAATGGGGTTGATACGTTCTTAAGACACTTTTTTAAGTAGAATATACTGCCGTTGAAACATTTTAAACATACTTGATGATTTCTGAGATACAACACAAAGTTGTATTTTTTTAAATACAAACTATACTTGATTATGATGTTAATGAAAAGAGCATATTTTTAGCTTTCCAATGATGTATCGCGCATGTATGGTGTATTTGCGGAAAATAAGCGTTAATTTTCAATTCCAAAATAGTAAGCGCTAAAGTTCAAAATTTTATTATTTTGATTATAGTAGGCGGGTTCGGACAGTAATTACTACCTAATTGCTATATGGTTTTGCACGAATATGACAGAAAGTTGTCTTGTACCATTATGCAGGATAAAGTTGGTTTTGTACCAACGAATAAAAACTTTGAATAGTTGATTTAAATTTCTCAGTGTCTTATCCCTGACTTTGTTCACCAATAAAAAATGATTTGTAGATAAAGTTTGTTTATTAACAATACAAGAAACGTATTAATTAATGAATAATAAAATATGAACAACAACTTCAGGAACTAAACAGTCACAGACTGTGTCATTTCCTTCTACTAGACTTACTGGTTGTAAGGTTAGAACAGTTGGGTATCAATGAATGAAATCTTCGGTAGTATCTTCCCAGTTTTCCCCAACCATGAGATTTAGAAGTTTTTTTCATATTAGCAACCTTTTCTTTTGAAATTGGGTGAGATAGAGAAAGATTAGGGATCATAAACTGGGCAACGGACTTTCCATTGAAACGATGTTTATATAGGATATGGAGCCTTATCTATCATTTTCAAAGAATCATTTTTTAATTTTATCACTTTATGTACTTAAAGACAATGAGGAATTTTTAAGCGAGAAACTTGTTTCGAAAAATTCATGAATGAAATGATCAGTAAACTCACGTTGCTATAATAACTAAGTGGCATTTAACGTTTTCCTCGCCTACTATAATTAAAATTTTGAATTTNCTAGAGGTGAATTTCGACACAAATTGACTAAAGCGCATTTCATTCTAAATAAACCTATACCTAAGGATTGTAAATACGGACTTAACTCAATTTTTAAAATTTTATGACTTATGCCACTTTCATTCTCACCGGCTCAATTTAGGTGGTGCGATAATTTTGGAGAGATTATCCTCAATAGCCGTAAATTAAATATTCACAGTAAAACTGTAAATTAGTAATAAGTTGTTATTATAAGTTGCTATCGACCTCATTCAAGGTTTAATTTTTTAAAGTATTAATATTATTACAAAATTTAAAAAAACTTTCTCATTCTAGTTTCCAGATGGATTTTGAAACTGGTGAAGATATAAGTTGCGACGAGGGTTCCCCTGATCAAGAAACTGGAGAAACACCAGCATCACCACAAAAAAATGGAGAAACTGGCGAATATGAATATTTCTATAGAACGTATAACGTAATACAAAAAGTGAAAGGTTTTAAGATCCCGTCTCATTTGATTAAACGGGACCTGAAGAAAGAAGTTAACAATACGAATCATGAAGAGGTGGAGGCTAGATTGGTGTTTACAGGCGTGAAGCCACACAGCAAAATCTTCCTCTTTATTATGCCGACGTTAACATTAATCATTCCAGGATTTATTGTTGTACTGTTGGTTTTGGAGATGATTTTACATAAATGGGCTCATAAGAGAAACGAGGATTTGCTGAAGGATAATATTAATAATATTTACTATCAGAGTCCCTATCACGTTGTAGCCCGCGAATTTTGTCCGAGGTGTCGTACTGAATCGCTTACTGATAAAATTGCAAAATTACAAGATCAACGTACAAGAAGGTTGTTTATTAATTACGGGTGGGATTATGTTAAGCAAGTTGTTTAGATTATTTTTATTTTTTTAATTGGAAATAATTTTTGTTCTTGGGATAGTTAATTGGTTTTTTTTTATTAGAAGATAAGAAAATCATTATTTCTTACTGAAGTTATTACACACTTTTAATATTCCGTTGTTTTAATGTTTTTTTTACAAGCAGATTTTCAATATAGTCTGATAAAGTTAGCCATCACACAAATATTTTTTTAAAAAATGTTACTTTCATAAAGATTTTTGCGCACGCAAAATGTTTTTCAGTGTAAGATAGTCATGAGTTACCTATCTACAATATAGAGAATCATTTTAATTTTTCAAATTCACCTTTAAGAATATAAATTACTAAATAATATTGTAAATCCATTTTTTCAAATGACATTACAATCCCTTTAATGGCGAGAAATTAACCTCATAATATACCTAATAAGTTATATAATCATAGTTTATTAGTTATTTCATTATTGGCCAATGTGTAATTCCCAAGAAATTTGGTAGTATAAAACGTAACTGTAAGTGTAAAATACACTTTATGCGAGAAGTAACTTAGACTATTTTACTACTTTCTCTTGCCAAATCATTTGGAGTTTTTTTTTAATTAAAATGAGAGAAATAATTTCCATTGGAAAAGTAAGAACGTTTTTTAATTAATTTCAACGTGATTTTTAGGTCAATAGCTTTAATTGCAAACCCCGAGTTATTAATTTTGAATAGCTATACTATTGTGATACGTAACGATGTACTGAATATTTTGTGTAGTATATTAATATTTAAGGTTACTATGTATGCTAAGGATCAGTCTTTTAAAGATGCAATACATTCTCTCTTCTGTACAGAAGTTGAATCTTAGGGAGTTTTAAAGACTGGGCCTGAAGTGTATTATTTTTTGTTATGAGAATAAATAATAATTAAATAAAAGTCTTTAATTTTTTAAGAAAATTATTAGTTATTTAGATTAAGAAAAACGATAAATTTGTCGGGGTTAACGATTAAAATGATGATTAATGAAACAACTTTTTAAAAGTGCTAATATTTCGATTGTTTATTCAATCTTCCTCAGAGCTTTTCAATGCTAAAAAGGTTTTACAAGAAAAAACCAACATTTAAAAGTTTGATAATCATTCATGAAAAAACAACTAGTAAAAAAACAACTTACTTGTTTAATGAGACTAGGGAACGAGCAATGTTTGACTTCATAATAAACTTGTTAAAAAACTTTAAAAATTACTAAACTTGACCATAATAAAATTGAAATAGAAAAATATATAATTACAATTTAATTGTAACAAAAACATACATGTATAAATAGACATTTTTAAATGAATTAAACTAAGATTAGAACTAAAACTAGAACACTAGAAACTTTCGGGTTTTGCCGTGCGTCTTTTAATAAAAGGTTTGACGTTTCGGATGCCATGTTGCAACCTTCTTCAGAAACTGTGAAAGAAACTGCGAAGTGACTTCGAACCAGTTTCGGCAAAACCCGAAAGTTTCTAGTGTTAGTTCTAGTTTTAGTTCTAATCTTAGTTTAATTCACACCAGCCGTGAAAGCCTTCGTACTTATATTTTTAAATGAGTTATGACGTCATTGATAATTTTTTCAAATGGCAATCCACCATTTTTATTACAGAATATGAAAGCGGATTTTTTACTGAATCTAGTACAGTGAATATTAATATTGGTTACATAAGAAAATTTTCCAGAAAAATAACTTTAGAGTTTAACTACTTCAAATTTGATGATATGATAAAAATAGCAGTAAGCATGAGTAACTATGCTAACCAATTATATTAAACAATTTCCTAAGTGCCAAAAATTGATTTAGTAAGTAGTTGACCTCTTTAATACAACATATCCTGATCACCAACTCATTAGCCAAAGTATGGTGAGCCTAGCTGTGACTAAATTTAAAAAGCATGGGCATTTCTTAAAGTCTGGCCTACCAAATGTTTCAGGGGAGGCTCAACAAAACGTGGTTTGGCTGGGCAAGAAAACCCTCATGTTACTGTAAGGAGTAAAATAAATGTAACCACATGTACTGGAGTGAAAATGATAATGATTCATGTAAAAAAAAAATTAGTAAAAGTCCTCAAATTGCAAAGATACAGGCCATCAAAGTTAGAAAATTTTAACACATTTTTCTAAATATCTTAAACACGCGGGAACAATGCTATACCGGCTGTTCCTAAAGTTTGTTTGCTCAGAAGTTTTTTATTCTATCATAACCCTACATTTATTTTTGCAGTTTCTAATAGTAAATTTAGTTTAGAACCGTTTATCACTCTTAGAGAATATTGATAAAATCCACCGTTTTCGAATTAAATGCAAAAATGTTAGGCTCCGAATTCAATAACAGTAAAAAACAAAAATAAATAAATAATCTGAATTGGCAATGACCAGTGAAAATCGAACTGAGCTGTCATAACTAGTATGTATGCAACATATCGAAGTGTAGGTTTAGCTAAATCACATTTTTAATTTGTTTTAGTTGGTTTAATAAAAGAATCCAAAAACAATAAATTAAAAATCAACAAAAAGTAAACAAAAAGACGACCACACTTCCAGCAATAATAAAAGAAGTACATAAAATAACGAGACAAGTAATAAAAAATACTAAAGGAAATGTTCAAAAACTTAGATTTCTTTTTTTTTAGTGCTATTATTGAAATCGGAACCCAACATTTTTGCATTTAACACGAAAACGGTGATTTTTATCAATAATATCTAAGAGTAATAAAAGTTTCTAAACTAAATTTCTATTAGAAACTGCGAAAATAAATGTAGGGTTATGATAGAATAAAAAAGTTCTGAGCAAACAAATCATTTTCACTCTAGTATGTATATGTGGTTAAATTTGTTGCCCGAGTCACCGAAACACCCTGTATAGTTATATAGTTTTACGTTCGTGTGATGTGAGATGTGAGATAAGATAGAAAGAAAAAAATTAAAGCTGAATATCTCTAGGAGACATTTTGTAGATTCGTAAACGTATTTACATTTTAGAAATGTACCGTAATTGTCACCTGTATGTTGCAGAAACGTTTCAATGAAACATAAAAAGGGCCGGACATTAGCAGTTTCCGACACGTTTCAACTATGTTTCAGAAATATGTCGAAGAAACATTTCGTGTCTCAATAATATGTATCAGAAATGTTTCTGAAACGCAAATTTGTTTACTGGGTGTATAGCAAGTTTTTCATTCATTTTACCATGCTGCACAGCCTTAGATCTACTTACTGTATCACGCGATTGACGCGACAAATTTGTAAACTTTACGACAAATTACAACAAATTAAGCGACAATTAATGACGTCATTCGTTTTTTGTTATCACCACTCTTTACCATAGATTCCCACTGTCAAGTTAGCACTACCTCAAAAATGCAATATTTCAAAAATTATTCATAAAAAAGCCCGCGACAAATTTGTAAACTTTACGACAAATTACAACAAATTAAACGACATTTAATGCAATAGTTTTTTTTTATTCAAATCGCAAGATGTGATGCAAAGAGCGTACGGGTGAAATTTATGGCAATGTAAAAATCTAAGTACACCGCGTTGGGATACAGCAGAGTCATAAAAAATTACGTGAGAAGAAATATATGGATTATTACGAACAGCAGCTTAAACATTGAATTTCTTGTATCGCCTTTTTCTCTATTGAAGATCTTATACAAGATAGAATGTTTCTGTCTAGAAATCTTTGTTCGAATAAACTTTGGGCATAATTAATATCTCTGCCTGCTCCATAAACAAAATTCATTTTAGTTTTTTCAGCAATCGTATCCCTTTCCATGCATAATTAAAATAAGCAATAAAGTTACTATTTTACAACATAAGTAATTTGTAATTTGCAATTATAAGTAGTTAGAAGGATTTGTTATGTTTTTTGTTGTTATGTATTAATGATTTTCATTATGTTCAGTCAACACAATAAAGTCAACTTTAAAAAAGTTCATTAATATACAGGCTCTTTCTAAATTGCGATATCAAGGAGTGATTTTTCAGCAAAAATTAAGGAGAGTCTTTCATATAACTTTTTGTTCAAAACCCCTTCCCCACCGAGTTACAGCACTCTAAAGATAGGGGAAACAATTGTTTTTATTTAATAAATCCATTATGGAGGAATTTAGAAGATTGAAATTTTGCAGGTAACTGTTGTTAATAAAATGACACTTTTTGACGATTTCTATAACCCGAAAATGTTATTACAAGAGGCTGAACAAATCAACCCCATAATACTTTGCATTAGAACTTTTTAATACGTCTACATTTTTCTATTTAAAAACTTAATAGTGGGATTCAATATGCAACTTTTTTGTCTCTTGCCATTTTCTCCTAAAATTGTTAGTTTGATCACAAAAAAATAAAATAATACTTAGGCTCAAGTGAATTAATTCAGAGATTGATTATTATTAGTCAAAGAAATGAAGTTATGTCAAATTGATCTCAGCATTATTTTATTTTTTATGATCAAATTAACAATTTGTTAGTTGTAAAATGTCAAGAGATAAGAAAGTTGCAGATTTTTCCCTTAATTTTAGACGGCTATAACTTGAAGGAGAAGGGGTTTTGAACAAAAAGTTATATGAAAGACATAGAAAAATCATCCCTTGAAATCTTTCACATTAATTTAGAAACATTGGTATAATAAAATCAGAAATACTTCATTTTTATTTATTTAATTGATTCTAATTAATATTTCTTAATATTCGTATTTGTATTTTAACCAAAGAATTCTCAACGACGAAATAATAAAGAAGGAATTTGTATACATGAAGTCGTTTATCCAAACTCAAGTAGTTGCAAAAATACTTTGTTTATACTACATANATTTTTGCATTTAACACGAAAACGGTGATTTTTATCAATAATATCTAAGAGTAATAAAAGTTTCAAAACTAAATTTCTATTAGAAACTGCGAAAATAAATGTAGGGTTATGATAGAATAAAAAAGTTCTGAGCAAACAAATCATTTTCACTCTAGTATGTATATGTGGTTAAATTTGTTGCCCGAGTCACCGAAACACCCTGTATAGTTATATAGTTTTACGTTCGTGTGATGTGAGATGTGAGATAAGATAGAAAGAAAAAAATTAAAGCTGAATATCTCTAGGAGACATTTTGTAGATTCGTAAACGTATTTACATTTTAGAAATGTACCGTAATTGTCACCTGTATGTTGCAGAAACGTTTCAATGAAACATAAAAAGGGCCGGACATTAGCAGTTTCCGACACGTTTCAACTATGTTTCAGAAATATGTCGAAGAAACATTTCGTGTCTCAATAATATGTATCAGAAATGTTTCTGAAACGCAAATTTGTTTACTGGGTGTATAGCAAGTTTTTCATTCATTTTACCATGCTGCACAGCCTTAGATCTACTTACTGTATCACGCGATTGACGCGACAAATTTGTAAACTTTACGACAAATTACAACAAATTAAGCGACAATTAATGACGTCATTCGTTTTTTGTTATCACCACTCTTTACCATAGATTCCCACTGTCAAGTTAGCACTACCTCAAAAATGCAATATTTCAAAAATTATTCATAAAAAAGCCCGCGACAAATTTGTAAACTTTACGACAAATTACAACAAATTAAACGACATTTAATGCAATAGTTTTTTTTTATTCAAATCGCAAGATGTGATTCAAAGAGCGTACGGGTGAAATTTATGGCAATGTAAAAATCTAAGCACACCGCGTTGGGATACAGTAGAGTCATAAAAAATTACGTGAGAAGAAATATATGGATTATTACGAACAGCAGCTTAAACATTGAATTTATTGTATCGCCTTTTTCTCTATTGAAGATCTTATACAAGATAGAATGTTTCTGTCTAGAAATCTTTGTTCGAATAAACTTTGGGCATAATTAATATCTCTGCCTGCTCCATAAACAAAATTCATTTTAGTTTTTTCAGCAATCGTATCCCTTTCCATGCATAATTAAAATAAGCAATAAAGTTACTATTTTACAACATAAGTAATTTGTAATTTGCAATTATAAGTAGTTAGAAGGATTTGTTATGTTTTTTGTTGTTATGTATTAATGATTTTCATTATGTTCAGTCAACACAATAAAGTCAACTTTAAAAAAGTTCATTAATATACAGGCTCTTTCTAAATTGCGATATCAAGGAGTGATTTTTCAGCAAAAATTAAGGAGAGTCTTTCATATAACTTTTTGTTCAAAACCCCTTCCCCACCGAGTTACAGCACTCTAAAGATAGGGGAAACAATTGTTTTTATTTAATAAATCCATTATGGAGGAATTTAGAAGATTGAAATTTTGCAGGTAACTGTTGTTAATAAAATGACACTTTTTGACGATTTCTATAACCCGAAAATGTTATTACAAGAGGCTGAACAAATCAACCCCATAATACTTTGCATTAGAACTTTTTAATACGTCTACATTTTTCTATTTAAAAACTTAATAGTGGGATTCAATATGCAACTTTTTTGTCTCTTGCCATTTTCTCCTAAAATTGTTAGTTTGATCACAAAAAAATAAAATAATACTTAGGCTCAAGTGAATTAATTCAGAGATTGATTATTATTAGTCAAAGAAATGAAGTTATGTCAAATTGATCTCAGCATTATTTTATTTTTTATGATCAAATTAACAATTTGTTAGTTGTAAAATGTCAAGAGATAAGAAAGTTGCAGATTTTTCCCTTAATTTTAGACGGCTATAACTTGAAGGAGAAGGGGTTTTGAACAAAAAGTTATATGAAAGACATAGAAAAATCATCCCTTGAAATCTTTCACATTAATTTAGAAACATTGGTATAATAAAATCAGAAATACTTCATTTTTATTTATTTAATTGATTCTAATTAATATTTCTTAATATTCGTATTTGTATTTTAACCAAAGAATTCTCAACGACGAAATAATAAAGAAGGAATTTGTATACATGAAGTCGTTTATCCAAACTCAAGTAGTTGCAAAAATACTTTGTTTATACTACATACTCGTTTGATATGTGTGATCCATTAAACTGTCGGTAGGCCAATTGCTCAAAGCAACGCTCTGTGCTACCACGTCTGGAATTAAGTCTGCAATATGACCAACAAAAATCAAAACTGACTTCTTGTATTTCTACTACAATTTAAATCGAAAATAATTATTGTTTTTTTTTTTTTATTTTATCCGAGAAAAGTACTAATTGTACTTTTGTAATTTATTTAATTAGCAAGTCAATTTTTGGTTCTCTGTTATAAAAAAAGGACAGATATTTTTTAAAATATTTAGATGTAATGCTTAAAGTAATTAAATATTTTATATGTTAAACAATTGCGTGTTCAATCACATAAATTCAATTAATCTTTTATTCTGAGTATGCAACTTTTACTTCAAGTTGGATTTCCAATTTTATTCAGTTCATTCATAAATGATGTTTTTCTCGTTTGCCGTTAGAGGCAGCAGGAGCTAGAGCAACCCAACTCGATCGGTTGGATAACTATGTATAATAATCTATAAACAAGGATTTTATCTTAATCAACTTTTGTTGTACAGGGTGGGCAAATTTGGGTGTTATTATAGGCTATCTCAGAAACTATAAGAGATACGAAAAAAGTAGGTGCCATGTCCCGATCTCTTTTTTCGAGACTAACCCAATCCCGCAAACACCAAACCTCTATCTTCTTTTGTTTTTAAGTTATAGCCAAAAAGTCAAATTTTCGTGATTTCAAAAAATGCTCATATTTCGTTTATTTTTGAAATTAGAGAAATGGGGTTGATACGTTCTTAAGACACTTTTTTAAGTAGAATATACTGCCGTTGAAAAATTTTAAAAATATTTGATGATTTTTGAGATACAACACAAAGTTGTATTTTTTTAAATACAAACTATACTTGATTATGATGTTAATGAAAAGAGCATATTTTTAGCTTTCCAATGATGTATCGCATGTATGCTGTATTTGCGGAAAATAAGCGTTAATTTTCAATTCCAAAATAGTAAGCGCTAAAGTTCAAAATTTTGATAATGGTAGGCGGGTTCGGACAGTAATTACTACCTAATTGCTATATGATTTTGCACGAATATGACAGAAAGTTGTTCTTGTACCATTATGCAGGATAAAGTTGGTTTTGTACCAACGAATATTATTATAGGCCCTATAATAATACCCAAATTTGCCCACCCTGTACATTGCTCAGAAAGACCACTTCACCTGCAACGGTTAACAAACTTCTTGCGGTAACTTTGATACTTTGAGGACATTTGACGTAAAACTTTGATTATATTTCGCTTTATGACATCCAGACTTTAATTGCAAGAGATGGAATTTGAATTCAAAAATTTATCGTCAATTATACCTTACGGGGTCACAATCCGGGGACACACTGTAGAACAAGTTCAATATGGTTTCAAATAAAGTACCACTTCCGGTTGACGAATATGATCCAAACTTGATACAAATCTTAGATTTTATTACTAATAGCTACATACGAAATTTCATTGCCGTAGCTTGCTGGGTTTTTGAGGTAAGAATTTTGTCCTCCTAAATTCATGAAATTGATCACTGTGAGCCGGTGAAAAGAAATTAGAAGAATTTATCGTTGTAAATTATTAAGGCAAAAGTCCGAGATGAGCGACAGACTGCAAATCACTCGGTTTTTATGTTTTATTTTAGTTTTTATCCAAGCGCAGCGACACGAAGCAATGATTTTTATTTAAAAATTAACCTTTACTAATAACAATTAACCTTTTATAATAAGAATTTTCGTAAAAAATAACCACCAATAAGTTTAATTAAATTAATAAAAAAATATCTTTAATATTACTTTTCAATACTTTTATTTTTAATTGTTGTATTACGACAATCACAAAAATTTTAAAGTGATTTTTTTATTTGTAAGATTTTCTCGTAAATTAATTCAATTTTGTAATTATTATTTTAATTTTAATAAAAATACTTTTAAAAAAAGATATTCTTATCAAACGATTTTTATTCGCTCATTTTGTGAGATAGTATGCATCATCTTCTTTACCGAGTATACATCATTCATTCGTCATTGCAGAAAGTTCGATACCCTTTTAATAAAATATAATATGGGTTAAGTTGAACACATTTTAATTTATAAAATGTTTAAAATATGATAACATAATTTTAAGCATTATTCTGCATAAAAAAAGATTTCTATTTAGCTGCATTACTTTTATTATCGAGTATACTGTCAATGGCAGCTGTCAAAAAATTTTAAATGGACTAACCTAAACAATCTTAATTATCTTTATTGAAAATGTAACCAAAAAATTAATTTAGAAATAATAACTTTCACAACCCAAAAGAAAAAAAATTAAGTAATGGGAAGTTATGTAAGGGGTTCAAAAGTACTGCACGTAATAAAGAGTATAATGATGAAAATTTGGGCCTACTCGGGTATTGTACTCTTTATATGTTTTATCGTTTATTATCTTTATGGTGGAATCTTGGCTTTTCTTCTTCTGTTATTTGCCATGACTGGAATGGTTTATCATGCCCAGGATCACTTTTTGTACAACCCTGACATGCCCAGTCATTCTCGAGTGTTCGTTCCAATACCATCCATCTACAACCTTCCATACGAAAATTTACAAATAAAGAGCATAGATGGTACAATGCTTAACATGTTTTTCATACACCAACCTGGAGAACGACAACGTCAATCGCCTACAGTGGTTTTCTTTCATGGAAATGCTGGTAATATGGGACATCGGCTACAAAATTGTGCAGGACTTTATCATAGTTTGCATTGTAACATTTTAATGGTTGAATATCGTGGTTATGGGTGGTCAGAAGGATATCCTTCGGAAGAAGGTTTCTATATGGATGCTCGAGCTAGCATTGATTATTTGTATTCAAGGAATGATATTAATCATGCAGAAATTATTGTTTTTGGAAGATCTTTAGGTGGTGCTGTAGCAATAGATTTAGCATGTAGAGCTGAATACGCAAACAAAATATGGTGTTTAATTGTTGAGAATACGTTTACAAGTATTCCTGATATGGCTACAGTTTTATTGCAATGGAGATTGCTGAATTATTTACCATTTTTTTGTTATAAGAATAAGGTATGGTTTATTTATACTATTTTAAATTGTTTTTATCTGTTTTATTTATTTTTTAGTTCATATCTATATACAAAGCGATGCATTTACGAATACCAACTTTGTTCATATCAGGTTTAGCAGATACTTTAGTACCACCTAGAATGATGTCGGACCTACATACACGTTGTGGTAGTACATCTAAACAGCTTTTACAACTTATATCAGGGACACATAATGAAACTTGGACTTTGCCAGGTTATTATCATTCTCTAGCGGTATTTTTACAAAATTGTAGGTTACAAAATAGAGACATTCGATCACAGTATTCAGATAAAATCATCAACGAACAAAAAGCAACTGTAACACCACCAACTGATTCTAGTATTTGGATTAACAGTGAAATCATTTGATGACTATACATTTTATTGGAATTAATAGCAAATTTTTATTTTTAGATTTTGTGCCATTTAATATTAATTTATAGTAATTTTTTTGTAAAAATGTCAGGGATGTATTTACAGTGATGATTTTTATCAGTTGTTCAAAATGTCATTACTGAACAAAATGTATAATTATTTTCATATTATTAATTGTGGAATTATGTAACTCATTAAAAAATTTCTTTAAATGGTATTTTTAACTTTCTAAACTAGTTGCAATAACGATTTGGTTATAAATGAAAAAATTAATATTATTATTAATCTTATTTTCATTGAATTTTAACAAAACATTCAATTCTGCTTTTACGCGAGAGATGCCCTATTTATGTAAAAATATAAGATGGGTTTCGAGTTGTGAAGAATTGGGTAAAACAAGAATGAGCAGAGGTGAGACCAACAGGAGCCTTATAGAAGTTTAATATTTAATTTTATTTTAATATTTATTTATTCTAATAAAATTGGATTCGATAGTTACAGGAATATTTATTGAAAAGTAAAAGATACTATAAAAACAGCTAATAAAAATCAAAATATTTAATAATTATAAGTTTAGCCGATTTTCCTTTGATAATTTTTTAAAATCCGGCGTATAATTTGTCAAGGCGATTCGCAGCAAACTTTAAGTTGTTAATTGTGAGCGATGTTTTGTCTTAACTAAGGTCATGTGTAAATAGAAACTCACAAGAATATGTTGTGTCAAAAATTGAAAATATTTGCTGATTTGTGCTGAATTTGTAATGCCTGATCCTCCTTCGTTTCTAGTATGGGAAGGTGTCGTACCTTGGATCATTATATTTCTATAGCTAACATTTCCAAATTTTTCAGTTATTAATCAAATTTCTTGGTTTAAATCGATTCAGCAATGTTTTAACTTATAACATTTATAATTACAATTACAAAGTACTTCATATTATAGGCAAAAAAATACCGTCGAGATGATAGTAACAAACCGCCCAGCAACAAACTTTTTCCTTTATATTTCCACCTACTTCTAGGGCCCATATCTTCGTTATCTAGAAAGATAACGAAAAACTAAGCACACGGTTGGAAAGCTTGGTCGAACAAGAAAGAACAATTGTAGCAAACATTTTTTTATTGCTGAAGGTTTGGTGTAAAAAATTGGCAGTCAAAGATTACTGAACCCATAATTGTGGTTCATATTTATCCTTGTTATGATTTTCGTTATTTTGTTGTTATGTTTTGGCTTATATATTCGCATTTTCTAAAGATAAGACATTTGAAATGTTTCACCAAGTGCCGTAAGTGTTCATTTTTTAAGTGTAAAAATGTATTTAGGCTCTATTCAAACGCGACGCGACGCTGGGTGCTCCCACTATGAATAGAGCCTTATTAGTTTTTTATACAGCTTAATTCTACTTCTAATTTTACTTCTATGATTAAGAAAAAGGCTCAAATTTGAATTAAATTATTATATGATCTAATATACCTATATGTCTTATTATATGATATTATATAATATGAAATTATTGTATGTATGACCTAAAAGAAAACGAGTTTGAAACATATTGCTTTAATACTGCAGAGAAGTATGTTAACCTTTATGGGTGGTACTATATGCCTACTATAGTGTCCACAAAATTTTAATCCATGGAGCTGCAGTAAGTAAGGAGTCGCTATTACGCATTGGAGAGTTATCTGAAGAGGCTCAAGAGGCGAAAAACCAAGAAGTGCGCAGATTTAGAGAGTGTCACACAAGAAAATGCAGTAGACTTCAAACAAATGAAGTTTTATTTAAAAGATTATTACTCAGCTCTGATCCATTTATTAGTAATTTCCATAAAGAAAGTTCAGAAAAGTATAAAATATGAATGAAGACGTGAAAAATTTAGTTATTTTGGACGAATCTCCAGAAGAAAGGGAATGTAAAGAAGAAGATGATGAACAAAGTGAAGAAGAAGACAATAATGATGAAGAAGAAAATGAAGATGAAGATCAAGAAAATGAAGAAGACTCTTCAAATTTAGATAATTTTGACATTACTAGACTTGTGAAATTCTGCCACATTTATATGTTTTCAATGTTACTTCCATTCTATAATTGCATTGAATTTATTATTAATATTATTTATATTTGAGGATTATAATACAGCATATCAAAAAAGTAGATTCGATATTTCAAAATTTTAACTTAAAAAAAAAACGTAAAACTTCCTTGGAATTAATGCATCTAACTACTAAAGCACTCGTTTAGATAGGCCCCTTTACCTTATATCAATTTCCCAAATACAAAATTTTTTTCTACGATATGTGTTTTAGGAATTTTCGGTCGCGTAATTTCAAGCCTATTTCATTTTAAAATTATTTTTACTCTTAGAAATTTCGATTAGACCGCATCGTTTTCGAGATATTTGCAAAAAGATACAACCTCGATTTTGGAATTTTTTCATTATACGTAGGTGCCTATGGAAACACATTGTAAGTAAAGACAACCTGATAGAAAAACATTTCTAAATATTGGAAGACAGATATGTTTCTGTCAGACTAGAAATTTAAAACAGAAGTAACGTCGACAGATAATGGGAATCTGAGGTCAGTTCGTACACCCCAACTAGAAGAAAACATTTTGGATTTTGTGCATAGATAAGATATAATATATTTGTTATATAGATAGGCAACTATAAATGTTTGATTGAAATGCGCAATTAGTTTTGGATACTGTCACCTACAGCGCTGAAATCATTGGCAGGCAGGATATATAATTTAAATTTGTTATTTGAAAGTTTTGTCGATGTTTCTTTACGACAACATTGCTTGACGACAAAACTTTATTAACTGTACAAAATTTTAAACACATTAAATTTTGTCATTTACAATGTTTTCCAAAAAAGAAAACATCGAAAAAACATAACTAGGTATTAAGTTATTATTTGGTACAGGGTTTATTAAAAAGTCTTTAAATGAATAACAAAGACTTTATTCTTTAATTTTTTTAATATTATTTATAATAGCATTTATAAAAGAAAGCGATCTTTTAATTTTATTGCATTTATCCAATGCTGTTTCTTTAATACTGTCGTTTATATTGCGTCGGCCCTGCCCTTTTAATACTAAGTTTACATTTTTCACCCATGTAAATACATACAAATTTAAAAACTTTTCTATAAAAATAGCCTGCAAATCATGAACAGAACACGATGATTGAATATTTATATACTTATACATTTGAGAAGATATTCTTTTTAAAACATGACTTTTTTCACACATTATGGGCAACAAATAATGTGCTAATTGTGTACACTTTCCAAATAATGTTGTATATTGCGAATTTGGTCGCAACAAAGCGTTTGCATTATAAGCCCTGGCGTTTATTAACTCATGGTGAGTCTCACTTTGTTTCGTTAAAAGAAATGTTTTACAAGCACGACAATTTTTTAATTTCTTCAGCAACCCTCTAGCTAAATATCCCGCGATATAAGAGTCGATGTTTAGTTGACTATAACTAGTTTCTTTAAATTTAATTGGGAAGTTGTTTTCATCAACAATTTCAACACCAATGCTAATTTTCACATTATCATTCAAGAATGCATTTAAGATGTTTAGAGCGCCTTCACTCTCATCCTCTTCGCAATTTGCATTTGGGGAATGAGAGGAAACAAAATTATTGATTATTAACGTTTTAAACGAGTTGGTAAAAGCATTTGTTGTTGGATTGACGTTTCGTACACCATGGCTTCGTATGCACCCAAAAAAAATTTCTATGGCATCTTGGTTTAAATTTCTAGTGTATAAATACTGGAATTTCTCGTTATAAACAATTTTCCATATATAAATAAATCCTTGGAGTGTTATTATCCAATTTCCCACAGTTGGAGGCACAAATTCTTTCCCATTTCCTTTAATAAAACGCATGGTTTTCAAAACTTTTATAGCCTCATACCAAAATTGTAAATGAGGAGAGGTTTTGGAAACTGCGGACTTCAGAATTTTTACAAAATCAGGTTTCAAAATACTGCCATTCACACTATCGAAAAGTTTGTCTACAAACAATAATAAATCGGCAGTGTCTTCTGCGCTTTTTGCCAAACAACCATTTCCTGATAACAAATATAAAAGAAAAACAGACTTTACTTAATTTTACTGTTTTAAAAAAATTAATGATATACCGAATTTTGCAAATCCTCTCATCGTAGACGAAACTCTTTGAGAAAAAATTTGAGCTGCATATTTTACTTTCATTTTCTTCATTTTACTTTCATATATATGCGCATCTGTCAGCTTATTTAACATTTTCGTATCGTAGTCACCTACATCCAATTCATAAAGAGAGACTACATCGTTCCAGGATGCTGTCTGTAACCCATTTTTCCATGAAAACATAATTTTATTGTTTAAAAAATTGTTCCTCAATCCTTTTAATAAATGTGGTGTGTCGAAAAGTGGAATAAATTCAGTGTCATCGATGCAGAATCCCAGTAATTTGTTCTCGCCCAGCTGTTGCAAACGAGTTCTTTTAGTTTCCTCTTTCAATAATTTTATGGCCATACAATTAATTGATAACTGATCGCAAACTGTTGCAATAACTTTTAAGCCAATTTCACGTAATGCCCTAATGATAATTTTTATATTGCGAACAAGATCTGCAGCTGACATTCCATTTTCCGTAAAATAGTAAGCGACAGGCTGTTTCCACTTCTTATGAATTCCTCGCGCCATGAAAACCATGCCATGATCAGCAAATTTTTTTGTTTTGCCATTTCCACAGTCGACGAATCCTTCAATTTCATCACTAGTCCTACTATACGTTAACGCAACATCCAATGACATTTCATCAAATAACAGGCAACAAACACGATCTTGTGGTTTCATTTTATCCACTGCTATTTTAAGTGTATCCAAAATTCGTGCATTGATTCCTGTATTGAAAGACTTTAAGCAAGGATAATGCGAAGATTTTGTCGCTTATCCCAAACCGACGGCCTCTGCTTTTTTTCTTCTGCATTGCTAACTGCAATTTTATAAAATTGAAAGTTGGAGTATTGACCAAATCTTTTATAAAGTCATTAGAGCAAAGCAATTTTTGCGTCTCCAACAAACGTTTCTTGCACGTAACATTTTCTTTGTCAAGTTTACGAGCAATTCCCAAAAGTCTCTTTGCTACCGTATACATTTTTTTTTGCATTTGACGGCAATCGGTATATTTTATTTACGTTAACCCGAGCAAGTAGTGATACTTTTTTTCTCAAATCTAGATAAAAAAATATTAAATAATGTTTTTTTAATTTTTTTTATTTTTT